ATGGTTGAAGTGGTAGTTGAAGTCGTTGTAGGTTTGAGGTGGTGGAGTTCCATGGTCACTGGAGTCTGTAGTGACCGCCACCTCTGGTGTAGACGCCCTGTCGGGTGTAGGCGCATCTCCCATCGTAGCATCTGCAGTAGATGGAGCGGCCATGGCTGCAGTGGAATGCAGAATGTAGTGAAACGGGGCAAAACAAATGAGCCTACGTAGTTGCTACCAGGCAGTCGGCGAATGCAGACATGTAAAACAAACAACTGTAGTGTTGGCTCAAGCCGCCAAAAGTGCAAGTGAAAGTACATGTGGTTACTGTTACTTACATACCAAAAGTGTCGTGTTACATGTAGCTACTTACATACATGAAATGTCCAAAGTCGTTGTCGTTGTTGTTGTTGAACTGCTGTGCTGGTCGTTCGTAGTGCTAGATGCGTATTCCAATGCTCTGGATGAGCCTGTGTAGTGTTTCTTTGCTGATGTATTTGGTAAACAAATCTGCGCTGTTGTGGAGTGTGTTGATCTTAAGGATTCTTATGATGTCGTGCTTGATGAGGTCTTGTGTGTAGAGGAATTTGAGGTCGATGTGTTTTGCTCGTTTGCTAGTGCCTTGTCGTGTGGCAATGCTCTTGCCTGCTGTGGAGTCTGTGTGGATGCGTAGGTTTAGCTTGCTGCAAATGTTGGTTTCAAGTAGGAGAAAGATGATGTTGAAACCTGAAGTTGGTTTCCTGGTAGTAGGGCATCCTGCCCAGTCGGCATCGACATGAACGTCGAGACCCAGGATGTTGTTGGTGTTTGCTCTGAGTGTTGTTGTTGGTTCTATGGTGAATTTGTAGTGCTTGGTGCCGTGCAAGTAGCGTAGTAGATGTTTGACTCTCTTTTGTGAAAGTTCTGTAGGTGCTGTGAGGTCTCGTGCTAGTTCTTTTGTGGAGTATGCAATGTCTGGTCGTGTGTGTGCTAACCATTGTAGTTTGCCAACAATCCTTCTGTACCTTTTGTGTTGTTCGTGGTCAAGTAGTGCTTCATCTTCTATTGTTGGTTTGTAGTGTGCAATTCCTGGAGTGTTTACCGAGTTGCAGTTGTTCATTCCAGACTCCTCGATCATGTTGTCGATGTAGGAGTCCTTTAGTCCAAGATTGCAGTAGTTGCCGAAGTGGTCGATGTTTCTTCCAAGAAATTGTTGTGGTTTGCCAGGTTCGAGGTAGCCGATGTGCTTGAGTAGTACCTGCTTTTGGACGGCCTCGAAAGTGGAGTCGACTGCGGTCTTGTCTCCAAGTACTAGTAGATCGTCCACGTAGACCATGATGTAGCAGTCGCGAGTCGCATTGGTGTAGACGTTGGGTTCTGACTTTAGTCTTACAAAGCTGAGCTTTTGTAGAACTTCAGCCAGGTAGTCCTGCCATGCTTTTGGTGAACTGCGTAGTCCATACATGGCTTTCTTTAGTCGCCAGATTTTGTCCTGTTGTGGACAAAGTTCTTTAGGTGGCCACAAGTAGACGTCACGTTGTTTACCGTCGTGGTCTTTTGCGATGGGTGCGTGTAGAAATGCTGCAGAGACGTCACCTAGTCGCGCGATCCAGTTTGGTCGTGACATTTGTAGCGCGAGAAGTGTCCGGAGTGGCGTGAACATTGGTGTAGAGGCGTAGACGGAGTCTTCGTCCTCGATCTTCTCGGTGTAGCCTTTTGCGACGATTCGGCTTCGTACTCCTGGTCCTTTCTTTCTGTGTACCCATCTTGTAGGTATCGCTTCTCTGATGACGTTGTCGTTGACGGTAGACGCATCTACTTCGTCGTAGACGCCGTGAAGTTTCATTTGGTTTGACTCGTGTTTCATTCCTTCCAGTAGTTATGTTTCGTCGTAACCTTCGTTGTCGAAGATTATGGGTTGGTCTTCTGAGGTGTCGTCGTTTGTGTAGGGAGTGATGGATTTTCCGTTGGGAAGTGTCACTGCGTTGATTTTCTGTCGTAGTGGTGGTGGTTCTTTGGTTGCTTGTTCCGTTGATCTGATTGTAGTGTCCTTTGAGGTCTTCTGTGCTTTAGTTGGTTGCAGTACTTCTTCCGGAGTTAAACGTCGTAGTGTTTGTCGAGGTGGTGCTGGTAGTGGTGGATGTTGTCGTCCAGTTGGTGAGGTAGCCATAGGACTATCCAGTAGTGGTCGTGAACTTGACGTCGATGTGGACGGAGGTCGTGGAGGTGGTGTAGTGCGTTGTTGTTTTGTTGCGGGTTCTGCAACGATGTCGTCCGTCGCATTTGTTTGTTGTCCGAAGTCTTGCGTGGACCTTCTTTTCTCTGACGGTTGTAGTTGCGTATCCAACAGTGTTGCGAACGATGGGTTGTAGGTGTTCCGTCGGGGTGCCCATGGTGTGCCGGAGACTTTGTTCAACAGTGCGAGGTCGTATTTGAAGTCCGGTTGTAGTCTCCGTACTGTTCGTACCTTTTGTACGCCTGATTCCGTTGCGACGTAGTTTTCTCCGGTTTCGGAAACTTTTCCGAGCCTGATGCATTTCTGCATCCGTAGGTCTGCTTTCGGAAGTTTCTTGTGTTGTGGTGGAAGGTAGAGTAGTGTCTCGCCAAATTCGCAGATTGCTCGCTCGTAGTTTCTTCCCCAGCGGCGTTCAAAACTTGTGTAGCCGTCTGAGTGAATGACGTAGCGATTTACCGTCCATGCTGCATGTCGTACTATCCAAGGTAGTAGACAGTGCTTTGTGGACATCGTCATGCTGTAGTTGCTTTCAACCTGAGCTTTGACGACGCGGATTTGTCCGAGAAGTGTTCTATGTAGTCGCTCAACGCTTCCTTGACTGTTGCTGCTGTAGGAAGGCGAATGTCGTACACTCATTGTGCCGACTTTTGCTGCTGTAGCTTTTAGAAGTGCGTTGAGTGTGTCTTCGTTGTCGCTTTGTAGTATGCCTTGTGTTCTTCCGCACTCAAAGATGAATGCTTGTAGGTTGTTGACCATGTAGTCCATCATTGATGCGTTGTCTGGAACCAATACTGCCATACACAGTTGTGTAGTAACATCAACTGCTGTCAGTACCGGTGTGGTCTTTGGGTCTTGTTGTGACTTGATGTAGGCAAAGTCTACTTGAATGACAGGTTGTCGTGATTGTTGTTTCTGGTAGTTGTCTTGGCGTCCTTTGCCTTGAACGCAAATTGGACACCAGTTTCTGTATGGTAGATGTGTAAGGTTGTGTTCTGCTATTTGTTGTGGAGTGGGCTTCTGTGGTTGTCGTAGTCCTCTTGCTCTGTGTGCTTCATGATGCTCGTGTTGTTGTTCTTCATCGTGGTTCTCCTGGATGTACTCGTAGTCTTTCTTCACGGTGAACCTTGTTGTTCCTTTCCATTGAAATGGTAGTGCTGCGTTGCCCATGGCTGTCCAGTCATCTTTGCGTTGTGAAACTTCTCCAAAGTTGTTGTGAGTGATTGTAGTTCTGTGAGGTTCAAGTGTGTTGATTGGTGGATGTCCTGGTCCATCTGTTGGAGTGAAGAGAGTTGTTCTAAACGTTGTGTGGTGTCGTATCCAGTGTTCACCTTGTCTTTCCCAGTAGTCTTGGTTGTCCTCCTGTGCTGTGAGTGGTCTGTGGATTGTCTCCTTTGGTTGTGTGGTG